GAGCCTGACTTTATCTGCAATAAAATGTAGTCCTTACCGCGAGCTGCCAGGGGATCGCCTACTTTTCCAAGCTTCTTTTCGCGCTGGAATTTCTTGTTCTCAGGTAAATTGGAGGACTGTAATCAAGCGCTGAATGTTTTCAGTTGAATGTGCTTGTTGCAAGTTGTAACCTAATGCTTTTGTTTGTCGTTCCTTAAAACGTTCTTTTTGGATATACACGCAATGGCGCGGGTTTCTTACCTGAAAACGAATCGAGGCACTATAGAAAATGTACGGCGAAATTTTTTCATGGACCTAAAGTTTGATTACTGTAAATAAGCAAGACTGCTTTGATTAGCTTACGATTTGTAGTTCAACAATAGATATGGTTGTAATAATTTTGATTCGAACTCCTTATAACCGTTTGCACGTCAATGCACTCAGGGTAATTAGAAAAAAAAATAGCGAATGAGCTTAAGGAGGAAAAGTTTTGTGCGCTGGTGTAATAAGATAAATGTTTCCAAGTAACTTTTCCCCTTTTTTTGGACGGGGTACGTTATTGATGTGTGTTGCATTTTAATTTTAATGCGACTGGTTATAAGCTTTGAGAGTCTATGGTTCACAATAGTTAGAATCAATATTATAAAAAAACAGGAATGCCTATTTCTGAAAGAGAAATTTTTTATTAGAATTATCTTTCAGAGCACATAGTAGAAGTAATTTGGTGATTTTTTTATGAATCTCTGTACCTTTCGAGAGCAAGAGTAAATTAACTTCGCCATAAGGGGCTACACTGACACAAATGCACTGGCATGGACACCACAGGTGTGTGAAAAATGCATCGCGAACTAAATGGTCCCTCACAAGACCGCTCCGATATAAGAATTCCCGATAGCAAACCCCAGAAAAAAAGACATATGTAATTTTTTTACATTTTTTTATATGAACTTTGTTGTTTGTACTGTATAGATGATCGGAATATTAACTTAGCTTATGCGCATGCCATCTTTTGTTATATCTAAAACTTGCGTGCAATATTCTTGCGAAATGACTAGTTCAGCGTAGTCCAGTTCAAGAGTCAATTAAGTCTCTTCTTTCCTAAAGTTGAGGCTTGGGCGAGTTGGTACATACTTCGGAATTAAAAACAGCGCGGCGCTACGTCCGTGTCACTTCTTTGTCTGGTCCTCGTCTTTCCGCGCTCTTTTTAATTCCTATGTATATTCTTTTGTTTTAAAGAAGTGGCTGAAAAGCGCATAACGTCTAGTGATTCCGTTCCGAAGCAAGTAAATTATGTAGACAATCCCTATCCTCAGCGAATCGTTTCCATTTAAATTTTGTTTTACTCCTAATTAAGACTCAAAAACTAAATTTTAGAAGGTGATAATGGACAGTAGCCCAATCACAACAACCTTTCGTGGTTCGTGGGGACTCAACCTTTTTATTTTTTTAAAGTAATCTCATACAATAAATTAAAAACTCATAATTGGAAGTGAAAAGTGCCCATATTTTAAAACAAAAATGTTTATTCACTAGGTTTTTTTGCAAGTTGAATGCACAGGCAGTAGTATGACTTAAAGCAAACTTGGACTGCTCCCTTAAAATATTTAATTTTTTTCCAATTTGTGCTGTAGGTATTTCGTAGACTACAAAATACTTCTATCTTTTGTTTACCGAATTATTTAAGTGCGAAGTAAGCTTAATATAAATTGTACTATACCTTTATCGCCGTAAATATTTTGTAGCATACCCATCTGTCAAACCTTTTTGTGCAACATGTTAAGTTTTCAGTACAAACTACTGACAAACTGGTGAAGTGCAAGAAAACAGTGCTGTAGAATTCATATCAGATAATTTTCCGGGTTTAGCCCTCGGGGCTTTTCTTTGACAGAAAAAAATATTGACTAGGCATTTTTTTGCGGAATCATTCGGACAGCAGACCTGCCCACCCTTTAATGCTGAAAATGCTACAGGGGAGGCCGAAAAAACACTACAATTGTGTGAAGAAATACGAAAACTGTTTTCTTCTTCAAAAACTTGGGTTAGGTAAGAAAAATGCCTCAACTAGAGCACAAACACATCTTACATTGCACAAAATGTCTTATTCTTCAGAAGTAGAAGGTTGGGCCAACACTGAGGAAGTTGCAGCTTTTGCTTTTCTTAGGAAGTTGTTGTCGAACACTTGTTCATGGCAGTTTCCGGACTGGCTGCATCTCCCAACTAACAACTGTTCAAAAGTCTTTTTCGACGTAGTGGAGCGGAAGTGCGTGTGTGCCTTCTTCACTCTGCTGAAAACTCTTTCGCCTGTGTGTGGTTGAACGAAGACGTCGAAGAGCAAAGTTCTGGCTCTTTAACATCTCCACAACAACCGCTGTGAACGGAACTTTGTGTTCGATCAAAAATGCTGTAAGAAGGAATTCTGCTCGGGTAGTGTCGTAATCCCTTGATCGACTAAAGTACCCTCCAAGCTTTTCGTTGGTTTCAACTAATTTTGCAGAGTCCTCGAGCTTTTCTTGTATTCAGGTGACGCAGAATGTCCCGGCGACCAGCGTGCGAAATGGTGACATCGCAGCGACACTGACTACCAAATCCGTACCTTTCGCCCTTACGCGACGTCTTCATAAATGGAAAGTCGGATGAATAGCTGTGAATAAACACTTGCACGTATTTGTTTCCCAACATCTTGTACCAAACATGGTTTCAAGGGATCACGAGTAAAAGTTCCAGTAACAGTATGCACAACGTTCGCCACAACCAACGTCGCCACCAAAGGTCGCCACAACAAAGGAGATTTCCTAAACAGTTTTGGATTAAGATGGATGGATGGATGTTAGCGGCAACGTTGGTTAGCGGCTATACCGCCCCTTACAACACTCACCTCACAACAAGGAGCAGTAGCTTGCGCCTCCTGGCATACAAGTCGATGTACCAGTTTTGTCAACCCTAACTTGTAAACAGGCGAGATGCAGCTTAAACAAAAATTTTTGTTTTTACACGGGGTGCGGAAAATCGTACAAATATTGTTGTTAATACGATAACCGTAAGGAAACGCTGGAAAGCAGACACTTTACGGTAAAATCGTAAAACTTGGCAGGTATGGGACAGGGACTGGTGCCACTAAATAAGCTACTCCTCAGAGTAACTACACTTACCCATCTTGTGTATTAAAATCATGGTTGCCAGTTTTTTTAATTCTGATCTAAAATCTCAAAAAACGCTTTACCGACCTTCACGAATGTTTCAATAGTTCGCGACAGAGAAAAGCATATCACATGAGTTTCCTAACACCGACGCTAATGTTGAGGCAACGCACATTTGAATCATGACGGTCGGCAGTTGCGTCTGCTCCGCACAGGCACCAATATGACCGCGCCCACAACAATATCTGGGAACAGAGTGCCGATTTTCTAAGCATAGCTCATCTAGTGGCTCTAACAGGGACAATTTAGTCCCAGACCATATTGTCTGGATCTCAGGCAGGATTCCACCCGAACCTCAATGGCGGAGTTCCAATTCCTGGGGCTGGGTCCCCAGACACATTTTTTAAATTATAAAGCACAACAATAAAATAGCGTTTGTCCATAAATTGGCACAAAATAAATAAATGAAGCGTATTCAAATTTGAGTGTCCTTGCGTTAACTTTTGAATACATTCCACATAGGAGCTTGCTTTTGATCATTTGATGTACAGACGGATAAGTTATTGCAAGGGCATAGTGAGCTCGTGGATTCGAAAGCACCCATCGCTATCTAAGAGAACTATGCTCTGCTATGTGACTAGGCTAGGGTGCGCACAAAGGTAGTTTCAGCGGCTCTTTATATTTTTGTACCTCTCTTACAGCTAACTGTTGCTCATCCAGGGCTGATTTAAGAGCTGACTGTAGATAAAGTGTGGTGCGTGTCATTTATTATCTTATGAACTTATCGACAAACACCAAAATACCGAGTAATAAACCTGGCGATTTTATGATATAAATTTTGCTCTGAAGCCTTTGATAGCAAAATGTTACATGCTTGAGTTAATATCAAGGCAGATACCAGCGTTAGGTCAGCAACATTTGATCGGTCAAGCGGGGAGTGATGGCAAACTTCGTGATGTGAATCCGCAATTGGAAAAAGATACAGCCGTCGCGCCTCTAGTAGCTAAATTAAGGACTACAGCGATGGGGACAACAACGTAGATTGTTTGTCTGCGTTTCGACTCTGCGCTTGACCCTCGACGTCGAACGGTGCGCCAGCGTTATGTTCAAGGTGGTGTTCAATCACTACCCAATCTTTGCCCCGCGCTCAATCGACAAAGTTCAGGTAAAGAATCCAGTGCACATACCTTCTGTTAGTAGACATAGAGCTGTGGGGGGCACGAGTCACACGTGTCACGTGAGTCGTGTACTGCGCGTTGCTCCTCGCAACGGGGACATCATGGGACATACTTCCAGCTATGAATTCGCTCTGGGGGCCCGTATATCCGAACACCGTAAAGTGAAACGGCGTATTGTAGTGTTCCAGTGTACTTTTAAGGGTTACTTTTAGTATTCCCTCGAAACACGAATCCTTCACACTCATTATTTTAGTTCACTCACGCACGAGTCTTTGACGGCTTTGAATACCCGGCAGTCTGTCTCCTTTGAAATTGCACTTAAGAAATCAGTAATAATAATAAGATGGGTGTTATTGTCACGAAAAATGGCTGAATGACCTCGTTCTAGGTAAAGAATACCGTATCTTATTTTTTTACTTTATATTCTACGAAACCTTTTTCAGAAGCAATCAGGAAATGTTTATGTAAAGATCCGGGTAAGATTAGAAGTGCGAGCCACTTTAGACAAGTAGGGCCTGGCTAAATACGTTGACGCTTCCCACTTTATGATTCGTTCTTAGGAATTTTTGTTAGATAATTTTGCCAGCTTATTAACAGCACAACGATAGTGACATGCCCGCTCACCACGCCCCGTGTTTCTTAGACTGCTGGTGACCATAAGAGTTCAAACACTTTCTCTTCCAACTTGTAGGATAAAGCAGGAGAAATGTCATCTGGACAGGGCGTAAATTTTGCTCCTCTCTTCAAGGACCTGCATGGCTTCTACATCAGCAGTTCCCTCGACGAAGACGCCGTGCGATCCGCTTTGTCCTACAAACCCCGGTCCGACGACATCTTTATCGTCACCTACCCGAAGTCGGGCACGACGTGGACTCAGTACATCGTGCACTGCATCCTGAACGATGGTGCCCTCCCGAAGGACTTCACAGAACTCACGCTGATGTCTCCTTGGTTAGAGTTCCTGGGTACCGAAGCGGCGGAGAAAATGGCGCGACCAGGTGCCATCAAGTGCCACCTTCCATTCCACAAGCAGCCTTATTCGGAGAAGGCCAAGTACACATGCGTGGCTAGAAACCCGTACGACTGCTGTGACTCCTTCTACTACCATTGCAAAGGTATCCCTCACTATGGGGTAGCAGACTCAAACTTCGACCAGTTCCTCGAGTTGTTCCTCGCCCGACAAGTTGGCTGCGGAGAGTACTTTGACAACTTGGTTTCCTGGTACGAACACCGAAAAGGTTTGAATGTCCTTTTCTTAAGATACGAAGACTTAAAAAAGAACACCGCGGTTTGCGTTCTAAAGATTGCAGACTTTCTAGGGGAGGAGTACGGTCAAAACCTGAGAACTGACGACTCGTTGCTCGAGAAAGTGGTCAAATTCACTAGCTTGGAAGGCCTCAAAAAGCAAGTGAACGACGGCGCTAAGGAGATGATACCTAATCTCCTTGCTCTCCCACCTGAAAGGCAGCTCAAATCTTTACAGATATTCGGTCAGAAGTTTAGTGGTAAGGAAATGTTTGTGCAGAAAGGGAACTTCGTTCGCAAGGGTATTCCTGGAGACTACAAAAACCACTTCTCACCCGAAGATATTCAACGGATGAAGGACTGGATTGCGTTTAGGACAACATGAAGCGACGTCATGAATTTGTGGAGTGATATTGGGCTGCCTTAATTGGCTGAACCTAACAATTAATTTAGGGTTACATATGTTTGTTGTGTGGTATAGGATGATATAATCTGTGGTAGCATTTAACATTTTCTGAATGGTTTTACCTGCTTATGACCTTAACCATATAGGCCACTGCCAATTAGGAGGAGAATACCGCCCCCCCCCCCCCAAAAAAAAACAAAAAAAAAAACAAGGTAGTTGATAGTATATTTGCACAGTTGGATTATTTTTTCTTCTTGTGTTTTAATGCGAAAGCTTTAACTGTCCCATGGAGGGAAGCCTGTAGTCTGTAGCAGCGAATAGATAAAAAAAAAAAAAAAACTCCCATTGACTGCCGCGAGGCATAGTTCCAAGGAACGCCACCCCACGGAGAATCCCATTTCATGACGCAGCGGCCCGGTCGCCGGTAAGAGGGAGAGGGTGGCCGGGCTCTGCAGAGCGGCCGGCCTCAGAGCCTACCCAGAGGTCGCCCGACCTGGCTCAGCGCTGCGCCCAACTTGTAGGAATACGCTACGTATACGAATTCTTTCGCATTGCTACTCGTTAGCAGTCTTATGTGTCTTTGTATTTCAGAGACGGCTTTGTTCCCGGGTTTTTACCGGTTTATTTACACTTTTGATTCGCATGAATATGTTTGCCCGGGTTTGTGCGCGGATGTGTGTGTGTGCAACATTTTTATTTCTCACAGCTAAACTCAAGGGTTCTGCTATCAACCCTAATTTCTGACGGTCTTAATATTAACGGGTATATTGTACCTAGGCGCGGTTCTATGGCCTCTTGCGTACGTGAAAGACCCCGGCTGCTTGCCGTATAGCTCTAGCGAGACGACACCCTGCCACGTCAGTCAAGACAGCGTGCAGTATTTATGTCCCGGCTTGACACAAGTACCATCGAATCGGGCATCTCGAGATTCCCGACAAATGTTTTGAAAGGCAAGTCAACGACGTGCGCTAAGCTTGTGATAAAATATAATAGCAACTCAACCTTTCATGTCTCTGTTAAGAGCGATAATTTTGAGAAAATTAGGAACCGGGGATCGTTGGCCGGCTGTGTTAGCTCACCCCGGCTCGTAGCACGTGGATCGAAAGCTCGCGCTGCAGAACCCAGGCATTATGTGTTCAATCCCCATAGTTGCCCTTTTAGTTCTAGATGAGGATCACACCGACAAGCGGTCGTGTATTACTAATGCGTGGCTAGCGGATGTAATGGGCTCGCTAAATTTCTCCTCTGCAGCTGAAATACCAGACACCCTAAAGGGGTATTCACACGGGGGAGAAATCCCGGGGATTTCTCCCCGGCACGCGCATCCCACGACGAAAACGTCAGGCTTTGCGATGTGCAAAAGCCTCGCGTTTTCATCTCGTGATGCGCGCGTGCCGGGGAGAAATCCCCGGGATTTCTCCCTCGTGTGAATACCCCTTTAGAGGCTGACTAATTTTCGGCTCTCTAAACATACGCACAACAAAACCAATTAATTTGATAAAATGAGTACACAGGACATTTGGCCTGAGGGGTTCTTTTTTCGCCACTTTGACGCTCTAAAAGAACAATCGCAACCGTCTGAAAAGACAATGTACGGAAGATGGCCCGAGACAGGTCGAGCTGGCAGATCGAGAATTTGGGCACTTCGATTTATACGAGAAAAGTTTCCGGGCGCTGAAAGTAAGTTTTACAATTTATATCCGAAGCTATAAGCAGCTCTTTCACCGTTGTTTTCCTTGCTGAAACGTAGCTTGTGGTGAATATTCTTAGCAAGAACATTTATCTCCGGGCTATTTATTATTTCGCAAAGACCGTGATCATGTTGACATGGGTGGAAATTTACTGGAGGGGTTCTAACCTTGGACGCTTCTTGTGCACGCGGCAATCCTACTCAGAGTGCTTATGAGTAGAAGTCATATCTTCCGATGGGCATAAATAATTAATCGGCATTATTTCCCTTTTCTTTCTGACAACTTTAGGGACTGTAATAAACTTCAATGGGTCTAAGTGATTTGACATTTTCTGTATAAACTTGAGAGCAATAGTTTGTGCTCTACCTGCTTTGATTCAGTCCAAAGGTATCTTTCACGTCAAAGAAATATTCTTCGTGTTTCGTATGCTTTATCTGCTTTCCATTCATCACCCATTGGAGCGCCACGCTGAAGCAATTCTGGTTCACATTTATATTTAATTTTTGTAAATGATGCTGTACTTTGTGTGAAGAACTCAAAAATGTTGTTGTTTGCTGATGACACTAAACTATTTCGTTGTATTTGCCCTCTTTTTGACTGCGTGCTTCTTCAAGTTGACACCTGAGCACTGTCTCATTAGCGTTAACATAACTCCCTCGTTCAGAGCGAGCTGAAAACAAGGGTAATGCGGCTGAGCAGGAAGCATGACCCATTTGTATTTACATACACCTTAGACTGCATTGCCATGGCCCGTGTGTTTGTAACTCGTGATCTTGGAATTTTGGTGGACTCGGCATTGAACTTTACTCGCCATGTATCGACTATTCTTAATGCCTTGCTTAAGATTCTTGGTGCCAATATTTCACTTTACAAAACACTTTTCTTCGCCTGCATGTTATGCGCGGCTATTTTGTTGCTTGGTGCGCGCGAAACTTCAATTTAATTGTACTGTTTGGAATTGTATTCACCATACTGCGTCAGAACGTGTCTAAGCACGGCTCGTCAAAATAACTTTCAACATACACTTTTCTGGTATGTGGTACTACAGCTATAACAGCGCACTTAAGAAACTTGGATTATTTTTGTTGTTTAGTAGACGTTGTTTACCTGATCAATGTAACAGTGCCGATCCCTTATTCTCATTATTTCGGCAGCGCGCGGTTGGTGAAAGCGTCGACCGGACGCTGCCTAGATAACGACAAAGTGCCAGTCACTCTTCTGCAGATTATTCAGAACGCACTACTAAAATAATCAAACGCGCTTCTATGCTCGCACTTTTTGATCTTCCGCCAAACATGCGAAAGCTTATGAACGTTCTTGTCATTATTAGTAATTGGCTTTAAAACTGTAGTTTGAACATGAATAATAAAACCAATACTCTAAAAGTTCATAAGGTAATTCTAGTCAATTAGCCGATTAATTGTTATGAATACTGCTGCGTCTGACGTTAGCGGAGCTCGCTTTGTTATTTATTTATTTACTTAGGTATTTACATTTCCCTTGCCGGGGCATTATTTTAGCGGGGAAGACAATACAAAGAAAATATAGATATATAATTTAAAGCTAAACATTGAAAATATGCGTGTGATTCGGAAAATGTTCCAGTGACTTTAGGAATGAAAATAATGAGATAACAGAAAATTTGCAACAGAATGAAAACAACATATCGACAAACACTTCCCTACCCCCCTACCCCCCCCCCCCCCTCCCCAAATAAAGCTGCATAACTGTTGGCCAACTGGATTATGGAATAGGAAAATTAATTGGATTCTTTGCTGGAAACCTGAAATCCAATTTGAAGACAATTATACTTTTTGTTTTCGGTGGGGCACCTGCAATCAAATTCTCAAATTGACACTTAGCCACACAAGAAGCTCCGCGGAACCGAAAAAAAAAAAACAGTTAAAATAAAACAAAAAGTTAAAAACACAGTGAAGACAGAACCCATGTAAGTAAAGTAAAATCAAGTAAAAAGCAAGCAAAAACTAGTACAAGTGAAAACAAAGACGCTGTATAATGGAATCCTTTTTGTTTTCAAGGTAAATTACCTTAAGAGGGTGTTGCGTGCACTAACTACATTTTTACAAACTTTGTATTATACAGGGCGTGTACATTGGGTTCAAATAAAATGCTAACTGCGGAGCGCGTGGTCGTCGACAGATACTGCGTATCCTGGAGGACTCTGTAAACATACAAAATTGCGGGGTGGAGAGTGGGGGAAGCGAGGGTGTGCGTCCTAGTCCAATGTGTTTGAGCCTTGCGCAACACAACCCAAGCTTGGGCGCTGCCCCCCGGTGCTATGCAAGTTCCGTAACAGCTCACATTTCATTCCAACCCGGTAGTACAGTGCTTAACGAAACTAAATGAACCAGCGGAGCGCGTGGCCTCGCGTACTTGTGGCGCCATCTGCCATCACAAGCGGTCCATCTGGTGTCTTGAGTTGCACGTGCGCACAGCTAAGCCAAGCACTTAGTATATATTTGTGCCCGGTGCACAACCCCTGATACCTGATCAACGCTGGCCATAAGTTCCCAACATGGCAACGTTTTTTTTTCTATCTTCAATGCAGTAGCGTAAACAGATTTACCTGTTTCCAAAGGTTAAAGTTGTAAAAAAGTTGCCACTACTCGCAGGGATCTCACTGTTCTTACTAAATAAATGTATAGTGTCATGGCACGTGTGTGCTTCTTGCAGACTGAAGAAATAAAATGTCTTGGTTTTTCTTTATTTTCGTTTTTTATATATAAATTTAGGGCAATATAACAAACAAATATATTTGTTTGTTGGCGCGTATTGATGCTAAGTAAAAATGTCGGTTCCAGCAAAAGTGGCCCCGCTGCCTTTTGAATTGCGCTACCGTCGTAATAAGAACAAAGGTTTAATTTTGAGAAGATACCTAACAGGTAAGAATTTGCGAGCCATTTGGTTGGAGGCTCCAGGTATGTTGCCGCCATTTCACTTCGACAGACAAGTTTGTCCAGGTATACAACCGTTATTTCGCTTCGTCAGGCAAGTGGCTCTCAAGTACTGCAGTGCACCTGGCCTGCCGAAGCGAATATTTTTAGGTCGCGTTTTAGCTGTGCACCATGACGCTTACCCTTTTTCCCCCTGGATGCCATGAGAAAGAAACAAGAACAGAAAATATAAAAGAACTGCACATTACTTATTTTTTTATTTTTAGTCCTCTCAGTTCTTTCTTACTGCACATCGACACACGCTTAAAGACACTTGTATTGGACAGTGGCTCGTTCATGATAAAAAGCTTGGACGCCGCTTCTATGGTCACGT